GGGGTAAGGGGTAAGGGGTAAGTAAGGAGGAGAGGAGCCTCGAAGATAGGAGATAAGATGACCTTTCATAAGATGTCCTTATTGCACGACCAGTTACATTCATCGTGAACCGCATAATTAGATAGTGATAGACTTACAAACTATTCTTCTCCTTTATCAGATCTATTTCTGATCACTACATGGTCATTTCATGTGTTGGAACATTTATACTGTAAATGGAACAAATTCGTCTACTCCACAACAGCTACGTCGAAAGCTATCCGACATCGTATTTTCTTTGTGTCATCTGATGTGAACGTGAAAGGTGGAAGAAACCCTCTCGCCAATAGTAATGCATATGTCAGCATAAACGCACCGCACTCGTTAAAGTCGCGCTGCTTTGGAATGTCTTCCACTTCCCATATATGGTTGAAGTTTTTCGTGTCAATTTCTTGACCTTGTTCGACCGACCTCATGTACAGAAATCTTGCGAACCCCCCTGTCACCTTCGCCGCGAGTTCAACATCCGGCGTCAGCGAATCGTAGTACTCAATTTTCATACGCCTAAGGTATGCCACTACGAGTGTCCAATGTTGGTTGTGCGCGACGTGAAAAGGTGCAATGATCAAATCCATGTCCCTAATCACGACCTCTGTGAACCAGCTGCGAACCTTTTCGTACTTGAACTTCATATCGCTATCAAATAGTTGTACGAAAAAAAATGAGCTTAGAACTGCTATTGTAGGAATGCGCCCCTTTCCTGTTCTAACGACGTTTTCGTTCTTCGAATCGCAATTATGGTGCTTCACACGACACTCATTGTCCAGTCGGACAAGGTTAAGATAAAAATTAACTATCTGCTTGTTCAGCCACTTTTTTTCTATCATTAGCAAGCTAAAATCGTTGACTGTCATCGTTAATTCTTCTTTTCTGTCTTCGTTGAATGAACTTGTTATGACGTTGTTATCCCCAAGTTTCACTCGCAATCGCGTGAGGGTCTCCATCTCTCTCTCCGTCAAATTCATTGTTGCCAAGTGGACGCTCCATCCTCTTTTGCACCTCCGGTTATCCTCCATTGTCGTTTGCGCTGCACATGACAACGCGCCATGTCTTTATGTGAGCTCATGTTTCAATACATTCATTTCTAGTTATGTTTGCATTTAATTTCTTATAGTAATGCGTAATAAGGGTTACCTTAAAAGAGCGGGGTGCTTATTAGAACTAGTAATTTACGTAGTTGAAACCAATACACTCCATTATTTTCTTTCATGCACTTCCATCATATTCATCAACCGCATTAATTAGGAGTTACCTTAAACGAGTGAGTTTCTTTAATGCACTTCCATCATATTCATCAACCGCATTAACTAGGAGTTACCTTAAACGAGTGAGTTTCTTTAATGCACTTCCATCATATTCATCAACCGCATTAACTAGGGGTTACCTTAAAACCGCATTAACTAGGAGTTACCTTAAACGAGTGAGTGCGAGAGAGAGAGAGAGAGAGAGAGAGAGAGAGAGAGAGAGAGAGAGAGAG